AATTGAGTACATAGGATTCATGCTTTACTAAGAATAATATGTTCAACTTCCATCCAGGTTAATACAAAGGCTGTACAGTCTCCATTTTTTTTAAATGGCTAAATAGTATTCCACATATATGTGTACATATACCACAGCTTGTTAATCCATTCCTGGGTTGGTGGGCATTTAGGCTGTTTCCACATTTTGGTGATTGTAAATTGAGCTGCAATAAACAGTCTAGTGCAAGTGTCTTCGTGATAAAAGGATTTTTGGGGGGACTAAGTAAAAATTGTTAAGTGAGATAAAAAAGTGAGACCACTAATTGTAATAGTATCTACCCTGTGTTGAGAATCAAAAGTTACCTAATTTGATTCTTATAAAAGTACTGAGGCCGGGCTCAGCACCCATAGCACAGTGATTACGGAGCCAGCCACATACACCAAGGGAGCCAGGTTTGAACTCAGCCCAGGCCAGCTAAATAATAATGACAACTGTAACAAAAATAGCTAGGTGTGGTGGCCACCTGTAGTCCCAGCTACCTGGGAGGCTGAGGCAAGAGAATTGCTTAAGCCCAAGAGTTTTGAGGTTGCTGTGAGCTGTGATGCCATGGCTCTCTACCGAGGGTAACATGAGACTCTCTCAAAAACAACAAAACTGAGGCCAGAGAATCACTTGAGCCTAAGAGTTTGAGGTTGCTATGAGCTACGACACCATTGCACTCTACTGAGGGTGAAAAAGTGAGACTCCATCTCAAAAAAAAAAAAAAAAATTCAAAACTGAGGCCAATACTATTATTCCCATTTTACAGACACCAAAGCAATCCTTAGAGTGTACCAAAAGGGAAACTTGGTGTTTGTTGCTGGCATACCCAATGAATGTGGGTAAGATTAAAATGAAGTGTATAGTTGGTTTCATAAAAGTGGCATCTGAGGACACAGATACTGGCATGCCTGAATTTAGTGCTTCTATATTTCTCTACTAGAATAAATATCCCCAATTAATTTGACCTATTTGTCAAAACTGCATCGGTGAACTGTGAGTGTGAGCAAGCTACTGGTCTGTGGAGACTGACAAGATGCTAAAGTCTGATGCGGGGAGAGCCCAGGGTTTGCAGGGAGGAAGCCATTTCACAGTGTCCTGGACACACAGGCAACGTTCGCATTCCTCAAAGCTTGGCGCAGGCTAGCAAGAAAGGTTTGGCCCGCTTCCTTTCTGACTCACTCAGGTCATCATCTTCAGACTATCAGATAGAGTCACCTAATATAGGTGAATCGTTAATTGAGTGAACAAAGGGAAACAAAGATATGGTCTGTTAGGACTTTTTTTAGATTCATACTATTTTGTGAAGAAGAAAATGTGATTATTAGAAAAAAAAAAGATTTCTACGCACAAAAATTCTAATGGAAGAAAACCAAATTGTAAAGAAAACACTGGGAAATAAAGTTGACCTTGAGAAATGAAAAATCACGCTGACTTCCTCACACTACTTGTATCATGACAACTTGGATCTAGAGGCAATCCAACTTTATTTTGAGCACAGAAGTATCACCACCTGAGTGCTCTGTGGGAGATGATGTTGCAAATTCTTGCCTAGTTGCAGCGAGGAAGGACACACTTAAATGGTGCTTGTTTATCCTTTGGAAATAACATATGGCTCTGAATGTTTCTAACCTCTGCTAATGTTTAGTTGGCCCAGTTATCTGATGTGAAACTGCTTTTGAAATGCCATCTCCAGTTCTCTGGCAATGCATCCCCCCCACTTGTTAGTTCCATAACAATGCTGTCTGAGTAGCCTCCCAGCCTTTACCAACTTCGGAAGCAGCTGCCTGGACTCTGGGTACTTGCTGTACTGGTCGGGAGCTGTTAAAACATGCCCAGAAAATGAGAAAGTTAGGTGACCTTTTGCTTCTGCTTTCACTGTGCAAGGGACATAACATTTATCAGATTCCTTTTTTCCAAATATGTGTCATAAATGGCAAGGGCGTGACATATACATACCTTAAAACTGAAGACTGCCATTGCTTTCCCGTAAGCAAATATGAATTTCTTGGAAGTTCAATATTGTTCTTCAAATTTTATGAACTAGTTTGCTAGAGGTGAGGAAGGGGACAAGGAAGGACTTGTGTATCAGCATTGTTACCTTAAAAATTTGTTGCATATGTTGTATTTGTACATGTTTATGGGATACATGGAATTTTTTTTTTATTGTCTAGGATTCATTGAGGAAAGAAAGACTTAGGTTACACTGATTGCGTTAGGTAAAGTCCCTCTTGTAATTGTGTCCCACCCCTAAGAGGTGTGCCATACACCATGACCCCCTATCCCTCATCCCCCTGCCCTCCACCTCGTATTAGATCATCTACTGCCTTCACATTAGAATTGAGTACATTAGATTCTTGCTTCTCCATTCTTGTGATACTATTGAAATTTTGTTACATAGAATGTGTAATGATCAAGTCAGAGTATTTAGGGTATTAGGTATTTTAAGTTTTGGGGACATTTCAGGTCTTCAAGCTATTCTGAAAACTGTAATACATCATTGTTAGCAATAGCCAGCCTGCTCTGCTTCTGAACATTACAATTCGTTCCTTCTAACTGTATGCTTGTCCCCCCACCCCTTACCTCTTTTCATCTGCCTCCTTCATCCTCCCACCTTTCCCAGAGGACTGATATGTCTTTACCACAATAAGCAAACATCTTTATCAATCACCAGTGGGACCTCAGGGGCCTCACTTTTGAGTTACTTCTACTGTAACTTATCTAAAGCAGACTTGGGATTCAAGAGAATGGCCAAGGAAGTTTGATGGAATACTGAAATAAAGTATTAAAGGAATACCAGAGAATTCGTCCACGCCATTTTACGTCTTCTAAGCATTATGTGCAATTTCTGTGTTAATTCTTGAGATCAAGTTCAAACACATATACCAAGTTCATTTATGATAGGTCTCTCTCCTTCTAAGACTGTCATTTAAATGCTAAGCTATTAGTAATATTTAGTATTTTATTAGGTTCAAACATAAATATGTGCAAAAACCTTACCAAAAGTAATGAAACAGTAGGGTTGTAAGCACATGCTATTCAGAACTTTTAATAGACTCTGCTATAGTAATTTTCAACTCAATGGCAGTAGAGAGCTTAGAGATAGGGAGATGACCTCATTCAACCCACGTTACTACCTTGGATTTCAAGGCATCTGCCACACTTTCATGGCTGAGGAGTGGCAATGTAGAACAATGCTAACCAGTATTTGACATATATTTAGAGTCAGGTCTGGGACTCTGATAAAGGTTTTTATGACTTTTGGCTACGCGATTTACCTGCTGGAAAACTTTCATAGGAAGGTTGTTAAGAATCCAACTGATGTGAAAGTTCTTTGTAAAGCAAAGGTCTCATCTTCTCCTGCACTGTAAATCGCACTTCAGCACCGAGAAGAAATTCTGTAGGCATGGCTTTTGATTTTCACAGTGAGAAAGACTCAACTGATTACCACCGAAGAACACAGGACCTATGGCATAATTAACCTTTGTAAAAAGTCCCTTAGAATGAGGCCTCACTATCTTTTCCAATGTGTTTGAGATGCTAACAGGAATTCAATAATTTTTTTCCAAGTTCTTCCAATCAGTAAAAACCAACATGTATAACACAGTTACGTGCTAGGCATTGCACTCATGAGCACTTAAATAGGGGGTCATTTTATTCTCACTTCCAGTAAGGTCAGTGCTCTGTTTACACCCATTTTACAGATGATTAGAGAAGGATCTACAAGCAATCATGACCAAAGCTGGAATTACATCCATCTTTACTGCATTCATTAGCATACTTCATCTTCTAATAGGGTTGCTATTTTTCTCCAACCCCTGTAAATCAGACTCCTAAAGAGGCTATTACAAAATACTAAAGTACTTCATAGTACCTTTGGGCTGATAGGGAAATGTCGTGCAAAGGCACTTCTCAAACCTGCAATCATCACAGTGTGATGGACTGTTGTGCTGCACTGGGAGAAGACACCGTGTCTACAGCCATCTAGTAAGCAGGAAAGACAAGGCTACGTGACTTTCCAGAGCACAGGAGGAGAGCTGCAAATGACCCCGAGTGTCCGCCTGGGGAGCCTGCTCACCATGACTCTTGAGAAATAGTTATTGCATTAAAAGGGCATGCAGAATACTTTCCAGATTTCCCAACCACACCAGCTTCACCCTCGCTTTGGCTTTGGCCCTCAAAACACGTGGTTTTGACACCAATCTGGAATCAATACTCTTTCTAGTGCCCTCTGTGTTCTGCTTGCTTCAGAAGTCTGGTCTGTGTTCCATTCCTGTTAACACTGGCAAGGAGGCCAACTGTTTATACCTAACGGTGATAACTTCATGCATTATTTTACATCAGGGTCTCCAGCATCTTAACTCTCACTTGGCATGATTAATTGGGAATTTAAAAGCACCACAGCAGCTCCGTGGGAAGCTGTTTTGGACAAGTCCTTTTATTACAGTGCACAACAGCTTGCTTACATGTTGGGGCAGCTTAGGCTGGCAGCTGGGATGGCTTCAGAGGGAGCACAGTGGCTGGAGGGTCTCGCGGCAGCAAGTTTAGTCAACTGCACTCTGTGCCTAACCTCCCAGGAATATGCCTGGGCAGTAGGAGCCATGGCAACATATTAATTTATTTGGGGCATGATGGTCAAAAAATTTTAATTAATTGAAAAGTGCCCATGCAGGAGGGAGATTTAATTCGACTTTGAGTTTTTCTTAAAAACAGGAGCAGTCTTAAAGCCCTGAATAAGGCACTAATCCAATTTAAGAAGGCATTAAAAGCCATGAGTCCAATTCTGCAAAATTATTTGGAAGGCTCAAGATGAAAGGAATATAGAAAGAAATAGTGGAACTACCTTCTGCCACGTGGCTTCTTTCAGCATTTTTCTTCTCTATTAATTTTTCAGCAGATCTCTTTCAACACCACCACCAAAACATTCCATAGAACTCAAACAGTAATTCACTCACAAAGGAAACACACCTCCAGCTTCATTAATAACCAACATTTTTTTTTTTATTAGAGCAGATACAGTTGTGAAAACTGTACGTTATACATTTTGGTTTCAAGGATTATAAATAAAGGAACTCACAGATAGGGAGTTCTTTTTCACAGCAAGAAACTTTAAATAAACAAAGTCATGTTTTATTGAGTACATTGGCAGACTTCATGTGCTGTCCAAAATGTAGAGTACAGTATAACAACCCATTAGAAAGAGCCTTCATGTAAAATACAGCTGTGCACATTTTAGAAAAATACCAACAATTTGAGCTTTGTTTTAAAAAAGCTTATAAATCATACATATATTTATAAATGGGACCCACATGCTCACTTTATAAACATATCCTTTACTTATCTGTTACCCATTACTTCCAAAGCATTACACGTTTTAAATAAACACTTAATAAGATTAAATATTTTATTTTAATTTCTTTTTCTTTTCTTTTCTTTTTTTTTTTTTTAAAAATCAGCTTTCCCCGCAGAAGGAGCTATGGGGTGAGGAAGGAGCAGTGAGAGGACTGAGGCTGACACAGGAACTTAAATGCCTGTTGTTGGGTAAAAAAAAAGTTACTTCCTAACTTGAAAAGTCAAAGCAAAGTGTAAAAAACAAATATACAAGTTGTAATTTTTCATTTGCTCTCTTTCTGCCGCCTTCTGTATTCCATATTGGTCACACCCAGGGTTCTCAACATACTGTACTTCTGCAAAAAACATCACTGGGTTACTACCCTGCAGGTGACACAGCATTCAGTCCACACCTGTGCTAACATGGGCATGACATGAACTGTCTCCTCTGCACTGAAAAGGTAGCTAATAAGGTCAAAGGGTCTGAGTCAACCATGCACATTACGAAAATATTCAGAAATAGCTCCCTTTCTGCAATATAATGTTTTAGAAAGATTTTGAACAGATACCTTTCCTCCCCTGATTTCTTTTTAAATAATTACTTTGATAAAGACCACTTAGTTTCTCTAAGTAAGCATGCTTCTGAATAATAAAGGATAAATTATAAAACAGCAAAAAAAAAATCAGAATATGTCAGAATGACAAAGGACTGCAAAAGACACATATTTAAAATAAAAATGTCGAAGCCTTGAAAATCTGAAAGGAAATTACAAAAGGACTTTGGAGAACAGGAAAGGGAGAAAATTGCGAGGCAGGGATTGCACAAAGCTTTAGGCTCTACCTGAATGTATTCAACAGAAATTTAAGTTGGAAAAAGAAAACAAGAAAGAGAAGCACAGTTATTAATAGCATCTTGCTTAACTTTCATGGGAATTAACACAGCCACTGACAAGATTTTATTTGGTTGTAAAGTACGTCAGCAGAGAAACTGAATCCTTTAAACACCGATTACTGCAATCCATGCAACGTTTGGACCTGACTTCTTCGAATTCTGTTGTCTTTTACCTTTTAAAATTGAGCACCTCCTAAGTGCATAAATAATTCATCTCAGCAATGTTAAAAATATTTAAAATTAAATTATTTCTTAGGAAGGTACAATGCCTTCAAATTGCTAAATTTTAAAGATAGACAGCCTTTTACAGGTTTAGGAAGAATAAAGGACATAAAAAATGGTGTATTGCCATCAAAATAAGCACATTTTCACTAGCATTTTTGTTGTTTCTTTTCCTCGAGATGCAACACGTGTGTTTTGTCCAGCCGGGACTGCAGGGGATAGATGACTATACATCATATTTAAATCAACAGCAAAAATGAACAGAGTCGTGCACAAGCAAACAAAACCTTCCCTCCCAGAACATTCCGGGAGACGTTAAAGCAGCAGGTCATGGCATAAGACTGGTGAGTGATGCTGCTACCTATTTCTTCTAATGAGATTGGAGTGAATGCTGGAACCACGTCCACAGCAACACAATCCTCCGACCGCATTCCTCGGCCAGTCGTTTCCCCAGCTCCCTACTAAAAACGTCAGATGGTAAAATAGTAAGGCAGCTGTTGACTTCCATCAAAAAAAAAAAAAAAAAAAATGCAGCTCCATACATTTCCAGTTTAGTCACACTCCGCTAGGACAGATGGAGTAGCCAATGCCAAGAACTTCGCCGGATGGGGCTGCTTCAGCAGATTTTAAAAAAGAATCATTATTAAGTTTTGTTCTCCAACATGGCTGTGTGCTTCAGCTCCCCGAGGACCCCAAAGCCACAAAGCATTCCCAGGGGAACCGAACAGGTCCTCTGGCTGAATTTTCCAAGTGTCATCTCTCTTGCGATCCCATCCTAATTCCAAGCCTCCTTCCCTGTGTCTGAGTCTGCCTGGGGTGGGCCAGTTAAAGGGCTGACGGCACCACTGCAGAGAACTGTGGGCTAACACCACTAGTTGTCATGACTTCACTGAAGGGTCAAAACAGTTACAGCGTTAAGTAACCATGTTGAATCACATTCAGGCATAGCCAAAATTAAAGTGAAGGACAATATGTTGTTTAAAAAAAATAGTAAATTTGAATATGAGAAAAGAATGTTATTCATTATGATGTTACAGAGAAATTAAGGCTAGTCTTACCTTTCCTAAATCCAATCAAGTTAGAAAGTGAACAAAAAGAATGGCCAACCCGATATTCAACAGCATGACAAGGACAATCATGACTGAATTAGGGCCCTGGAAGTGAAACAGAATAAAACAAGCTTAACTTTTCCATGTTCATTATCAAAACCAATTGCCGAAAATGTAAGAAATCTAACATGGTTGCATTAAATAAGGTCTGAATGATGACAGTTGTTCCAAAAGGTATAAATTCAAAAAAGTAATGTTCTATTTAGATGGAGCCATTTCTGAATTTTCACTTAAAAATGAATCTAGGCTTAAATAAATTCAAAAATGTTTTGAACAATAATCGACTTAATTCACCTTAAAGCAATGGACAACAGCCTGGGGTGAGGCACAGTACCCAACAGCCCAAACGGGGTAGGGACTGGTGGGAATAAAGACGTTCAATTGTTAGGACACCTTCAGATAAGGATGAACTGTTTCCTCCCAAGGGTGGTTAGAACAGGGGGTAAAACCCAGAGGACAAACTGATGACTCCATACTGACTCAGAGTCAAAGCATTCTATAATAGACATACTCTTACTTGACACCGTGAATGTTACTTTCTTTGCGTTATTATTATTGCTTAATATTTCGATGCAGCAATCATCTGATTTCTTTTCTGAATGTATTTATCTTCATTCGTTCTTTACGAGGTTTCTGTTTCTACTCCTTTTCTTAAACATTGTTATTGTTATTAAATTTTAAGCCTTTTTGATTTTGTGAAGGCAAAAAGTGGAAACCTAATAAACACATGGATATGTTAAAAAAAAAAAAAAAGGAGTAGGGCACCAGCCAGCCCCATGTGGTGGAGGTGGTGGGTTCAAGTCCAGCCCCAGCAAAAAACTGCAAAAACAAAACAAAACAACAACAACAACAACAAAAAACCCCATAGGACAACGAAGCCTCCAAGGAAAAACCAGAATGAGATTTCTTTTCCTTTTTCTTGGTCTTTTTAGAGGCATCAATCCTGTCCTTTTAGTATAAAAACTGCAGGTGGGATGTCGAATACTCTTAAAGGCATTTCACAAATCTAACCTTTTATTTCTCTAATCACAACCATAACATTTCCAATTTAGTTATATGTAACTGCAGAATCTTATTTTGATAAGTATCATATTAAGTACCAGACAGACTAATGTCCTCAAACTTGTTTAAAACAACCAACCTTTTGTTGATATGACCCATCTTTTCGGATCTAGTCCATGGAAAAGTCACTTTTTTTTTTCTTTTAGGACATTTAAAAGGACTTTAAAAGAAGTCACCTTTTATTGCAAAGATACGATCTTGGTATTTACTATTGTCTAATTCTTAAATACTATTAAAAATGTTCCAAATGAGCCTTATGAGGTGGGTAGGTCGTTTTATTGCCCTTATTTTACAGATGAGGAGACAGTTCAGTTCTATTTGGATATTAAGACTGCATTTAAACAATGTTAGAAGTCTCAAAGGTATTGGGGTTTTTTTTGTTGTTGTTGTGAGGGGAGGCAAAGTGGGTAAGGGGGATTGGACTGCCACTGGGTGAGTGTTCACATCACATGTGACTTACTCAAGGTCTCTTCCTGCATGAGGCCACATTTCCTTGGTAGAGGTCAGAGTGCCCAGTTCCTTCTCTATCCTAACATTTTTCATTCAAGCTTTGTCATTTGTTAACTGCCATCTTCCCCTAGACTCTCGGCTCCACAGTGGCAGGGTCTCGTCTTGGGTCCCCACTACGGACCCAGCACACCAACACATGGGTTGCCCGGGTCAGCCAGGCAACCAATATTTAAAGAAATCCTCCTATTGCCCCCATTACTTTTCCAGGGGCTGTGGATGCGGCTGTTGAACAGAACAGATTAAGTCACTGCATTAAATGAAGAACAAACAGGGTGATTAGTAAAACGGAGGGGCAGAGGAGGAAGTAACCTGCGTGCCCTTGAGATACGGACTATTTGGAAGAAAAAACCCAGTGGGAAGAAAGTAAACACTTACTGCAGGTCTTTTCAATGCTAGGCAGTGGGCTAAGCATTTCTAAGTAAATTCTTTTTCATTTATTCTTTACATGTGATTATTAGTTCATTTTACAGAGCTTCAAGAGGACAAGTATCTTGTGCAAGGTTGTGCAGCCTTAAACATGTGATGATTAGTTAGTAATAATAACAAATTATATTGTTTGCTAAATTATATTGTTTTATAACAGTTATATTGTTTCGTTAACTATAAACAAATTAAATTTTAGCCTGTCCCCTTCAGGGCTATTCATTTCTCTACATATTCATTTTCTCTACATCCCTATTAAAGTCACAGGCGTTAGTTTAAAAGCAATTTCCCAACAAGTTTTTTAAAATGACACTGTTGTCTATAATCTATCGTTCCTGCATTATAAAGAAAACATCAGCTCTTGCTCATGGCCAACTAGTCTTTTAGAATAGTTGTTTTCTAAATTAATAAGAATCCTACCGGATGCAACTGCTCAATTATGTTTAACTTAGAATATAATGTAGGAAACTCTAATAACTCAGAAAATAATAGAGACGACCACTCTAATAACTCAGAAAATAAAGGAGTTGATCATTCAACATCACAACCCACACAGAGATTAAGGAAATAATATTACAGGTTAGGTATTCCTTATCTAAAATGCTTGGGTTTCTGACTTTTTTACCCATGAGATGTCGAGCATCTCAAATCCAAAAACCCCAAATTGAAAAGTCTCCAATGGGCATTTTCTTAGAGTATCATGTCAGCACTCAAAAAGTTTTGGATTTTAGCCCGATATAGAAGCAGGCACCTAGAGTCCCAGCTACTGAGGAGGCCGAGAAGGGAAGATCCTTTGAGGCCAGGAGTTCAAGGCTGCAATGAGCTATATCTGAGAACAGCCACTGCACTTCAGCCCGACAGTGCACTGAGACCATGTCTCTTAAAAAAGGTTTCGATTTTAGAGCATTTCTGGTGCTCAACCTGTACCACTATGCTCTTTGACCAGACTTTGTTCATATGTGTGTTAAGAATTTTGGATCATTTCCATTCTTTGGGACACTGGCTTTAATTCATATAGTGATATAAGAGATGAGAAAAAGTACACTGGGTCAGAACAATTCAGTGCGCGGGTCAGTGCCTCAGAGTGGACTCAGGAAAAGGAGAATGACAAGACCAAAGTGCCTTCAGTGAGGCCGGCTCTAAAGTCTCTGATACCCAGTCCAGAAATCTTTACAAGGTTTTGGGAATTTATCTAACCCTTTTTAATTGGTTACTACTTTGAGTGTGTATTTTCTTGGGTTGAACTGAGCTCACTATCTTTCTTTGGGTTTGTACTGGTGATCTGGGTTCAATGAATAATGAATATTTTATCCAGATTGAAAAATACACACATATATGTATTTCTCCTGCCAGTGTAGCTCCATTTATAAAGCTATTTTTAAAGATGACTCAGTGAAGATGAAAGCAAGCCAGATGTTAAAGGTTCAGACAACAACTAGGTGAAAAATAAAAACCTGGGATGCTAAGTTTAACAGGCAGCTATCAAGCCATGATCCCTGTGTTCTTCCCAGATACCGAGGTACAGGGCACATGGTGAAAAGCTTTAAGGTGAAGTCCTATAAATGTGACTGTGGTGGCCACTTGTAGCTTAAAATAGCAAAATGAAAAAAGAAATCAGTCTTGCTTTTCAAGACTGACTGGGACAGGTGTAAGAGAAGCTGTAGCAGGGCAAAGTGTAAGTCTTGATTGGAAAAAACTTCCAGGCCGTTAGAAAATAAAATAGAGGAAGTCAAAATAAGGAGAGAAATTCTAACTCTGTAAGTTTTTTTTCCCCCTCAAGAAAATGTTATTCAAATTTAAAATTGTGAGAAATTTTCTAGTAGAAGAGTTATTATGGTTTCATTATGTTAATCTAAACTCTTCTAATTAAAAACACATGAAAAAGGCGACGTTAAATTTAGTATTAACAGCGGAGTTTAATCATGTGTATTTGCTTTTCTTTTTCTGGTGAGGTTCAAATCTGATCTGCCAGGGATGCCTTAAATTTTTTTTTTACACAAATTCAAAAGGAAGATCAGGTAAGCCTCCAAGCAAGCTTGGAAGCTGATCCTAGCAATGGCTGAGAAAAAAGTGCAGGGAGTTTTCAGAATGGGATGAGATTCCTCACTGGAAGACTCCTCACTTATCTATGTGATCGTACGGCTCAGAGGATGCCTCTTCTGGCTCCTCCCAGAGTTGCCAGGTTGCAAAACCCTACGATAATGGCAGTATCACATAGACTATGTGCTCTGGGACACGAGTTCACATGCAACCACTGCCCACAGGTATCTCCACCACGGCCTCCCTTCTCCTGCCTCTCTCACTCAAGAAACGAATTAGCTCCTCATCGTCTGTGTCCCAGATTTTCTGTATTTCTAGGAGATCAATATCCAGGGTGATGCTTGGGATGGATCAAATCCATTTGAATATTTATGAGCTACTTATGCTTCAGCTCGTATGGTGTTAAACATCATCACAATGATAGCCCGTGCTTTTTGAGCATTTATACTGGGCTAGGCACTGTGCTAAGGACTTCAGAAGCAGTAACACAATCTTCACAGTAACCCCGTGAAGTAGGTACAGATGAGGAAACCAAGGCACAGAGAAGCCGGCAAACTTGTCCAGAGTCATACAGCTGGTAAACACCACAGCTGGGATTTGAATCCAGGATGTGTGGCACCAGAGTCCACGTTTATGAATTTTTAAACTGTTATTTATAATCCTTCAACTTAGGCAGTGACTATCTCAAAATTGTACTTAGTACTCAATTGTTTTAAAGGTCATTTGCTGATTCCCTTTATGATGATAGAGATCACTTCCTAACTCTGGGAAGAAAACAGTTGTCAGGAGTGCGGAAGGCAGTGTTCTGTTACCATTAGGAAGACGATGTCAACTGGTACATGGGAAGGTGCCAAGTCACTCCTGACTCGTACCTTGACCACACACAGAGGCAGCCTGAAGCTCAGGGAGGTGGCATAGCTGCTGGGGCCTGCTCTCTCCCTGGGGGTGTGCAGGAGATCCCTAGGGACGGACCTACTGAGATGGAGGGTGCTTGGCTAACTTAAGAATCTGAGGATTATGCACATGAGTAAAACAGATTTTTTTTTTTTTTCTAAATAAGGAGGCTGTAAATTTACTGAATATATGTATTGCACTGTTCTACAGAAAGATACTTACAGGTGCAACCCAGGTAACTCAACTTTTTTTTCCTATCACAGCTTAATGTAGGATACTGTGGTATACGTTCCTCTTTGTGGTGTTCTAGGAGGCAAGTGAACCCCACTGCGGGGCACCCAAAGATGCTCTTGCATTGTGTGAATTTCCCTGTTGTAAATCAGGCAAGCTAATTTGATATCTATGATATCTTTGATATCCAGCCAGCCTTACTAACCTGGGGGTATGCTGAAAGGTAAGTGAGAAGTGAGTTACATTTAAAAAATTCAACAGTGATAGTACTATGGTTGTGATATTGGCATACTGACCTATCTATGTTAAAAATATTTAAAAATGAACACTTACCGAAGAGCCAGTCTCATAAAGTTAGTCCTTTTTGAAAACCATGTATCCTCATGGAGTCTAGTTTAGTTACTCTGATTAATGTATAGTTAGCTAATTAAAAAGTTGGCGATTTGAGAATCAGAGAACCAATGTTTTACAGTGTGTCCCAGAAGTCACCATACATAGGGAAACTGTGAAACTGTAGCTAACTGCATCTTTCTTTATAAAACATTCTCTACATTTTGGCCACATCTATGTAAAATTTTATAATGAATATTTTATAAAGAAAGGTATATTTAGCTACAATTTTCCATTTTTCTCTCCTTATGGTGACTTGTAGGACACCCTGTATAGATATTAGCAAAATAGACAAACATAATACATTTCAAGCATAAATTAATTACAAAGATGAATGTCAATGGTTTAACCCTGTGAGTAAAAAGATCAAAAATAAGAAACTGATGGTTGTATTATATTCTTTTTGGCTATTTATCCATACCACATTGTGCAAACATCTCTAATTATAAGTCAGCTGAGGTTTCTTCCCTAAGCTACATTTAACATCCAATACCTCTACTCCAAAGGCATGTGACTGGGTGGATTTTTTAATTGATAATTGCTTAGCTTTAGATTTTATAAATTCTACAGAATTTGATCAAATATGAATTGGATACATCTATCAAACCTCAAATTCTACAGAATCTGATCAAATATGAATTGGATATATCTATCAAACCTCAAATTCTACAGAATTTGATCAAATATGAATTGGATATATCTATCAATTGGATATATCTATCTATCCTCAGTTGTGGGAGGATGCAGAGATTTTTCAATAACACAGAGTTTTCCTAGCTGACCAATAAATATCTTAAGTGCTCAAGACTAGTTGATATTAACTAACATTTGCCAGAGATCTGAAACAGCAAGAGTACCCACAACTGCCAGAAATTAAAAGATCAAGGAAATTCTCTGGAACTA